TCCCTCAGCCTCTCCTCGTAGGGGAGATGCTCCAGTCCCCTCACCATCCTCGTAGCCCTCCGCTGGACACTCTCCAGTAGCTCCTCATCTTTCTTGAACTGGGGAGCCCAGAACTGGACACAGTACTCCAGATGGGGCCTCTCCAGGGCAGTGTAGAGGGGAAGGAGAACCTCCCTCGTCCTGCTGGCCACACTATTCTTGATGCACCCCAGGATCCCATTGGCCTTCTTGGCAGCCAGGGCACACTGCTGGCTCATGGTTAACCTGTTGTCCCCCAGCACACCCAGGTCCCTCTCCGCAGAGCTGCTCTCCAGCAGGTCCACCCCAAGCCTGTACTGGTGCATGGGGTTGTTCCTCCCCAGGTGCAGGACCCTGCATTTGCCTTTGTTGAACCTCATCAGGTTCCTCTCTGCCCAGCTTTCCAGCCTGTCCAGGTCACCTTTGCAACGCCCTGTGTGGTACGACGCTGATTTCTGATTTCTAACAAATGCCTTTCCAAACCAAGCGCCGTTTCACTTTCGGTGCTTTTCTGACAGAGGGGCTTGAAATGCAAGGGAATCCCAAGCTTCAGCTCACCGAGACCTCACTGCCCAGCTCTTACACGGTGCCCGTGGGGCATCCGAGCGGCACAGGGAGGTACAGGCTGCTCCGGCTCTCAAGCAGCTCAGCAATTCCTGCAGCAATGGCAGGAACGGAGCAGAATAGGCATTTCAAACCTACCAGTGGTCAGACAAATGGATTCCCCCCCCCAAAGAAACTCCAGCACTCTCAGTTTTGCCACCAGGCTGGACTGGAATGGTAAGTTCAATGTTAGGACTTGCTGCAGAACGAAAACTCCCATTTATCTTCCTTTTTGATGCATCAAAACTTGAGGTCTCCTAACTCCACATCAGTGAGTCACCGCACACTCAAAGCAATGTAACGCTATCTGTGCAGTGACCGAGTCTGTGTTTATTGAAACATAAGATTTTGAAAACACCAAAACAAAGTATTTTGAAGAGGTTAAAAACAAGGAAGCCAAGATTATACGTTTTAACAACTCCTGCCAGCAAAAAATGCCAGCACTGTTGTTGTTACACCATGAAATATTTCAGTAAAGCTCCAGTTTCTGAAGGAAAATGGCAGCATCCAAATCTTTTTGCCCTTGCCTCATTTAAACACACGTTCACAGTGTGCTGCTGAGTAAATGCTGCTGCAGAAACCCTCGCCAGCCTGAGACGCGAGCCTTGCCAAGGGGAGCACGCCGTCCTGCCAGCTGGGCTCACACGGCATGCCACCCACACAGACAGAGACAAGACGGAATCTGCCCCAAAATGTACCATCCACAAAGGAAACGGGAGAAGAGGAAGGATGGGAAAAGAAACAAATGGCACAGGAAAAAGGTATCCTAGCAGCAAGCAGATAGCTCCTGAGCAGCTTCTGTTCTAAAGTCTTCTACTGATCCAGACCTGCCTACCTTCCCTGGCCCCGGGGCACCACAGGACATCACCTGTCCTGCACCCTGCCAGCACGCTCAGAGCTTATACAGGTCCATCATCCCAAACGAAGAGCCGAGCAAGCTGTGGGTCAGCCTGCTGCTGCGGGAGTCGAAGGGCCACTGTCCATCCCTGCCGAGCAGCGCGGAGCTCCGGGATGAATCCAGGATGGCTCCACTGTGGATGTCCTCCCCGATGGACGTGGGCACCCACGGGATGGAGCATGGTGTGCAGCCCAGGAGCCTCTCCAGAAGCCCTCTCCACGGGGAAGGGCAGGGCTGGGGATGGGTTTTCAATTAGTTCTATTATCGTGCCAATTTCTTTACCGCTTTGCGAGCACAATTTAAAAATCCACCCAAAACCTGGCCTCCCAGGCCTGTCTGTGCAGCAGAGCTTTGCCAAAGCAGCTCTCCTGCTTCCAAAGGAGTTGTGGAATTAGAGATTAAGAAAGCGTGGCGTGCACTCTCCCCCCTGGCTAAAGCATCTTCCCCGCACCGCAGAGCCAAAATCCCGCAGGCGCTGCCGGCTGTGGCCATGGAAACTGCGGGTTTAAGCGCAGGGACTCCCCCGGCTTTGTGCAGCTATGCCCATCCATATTAGCTGGAGATCTGTCCGCTGATTTATGATGGAAACGCTAACAAACCCTTAAATGTGGCACGGCAAATAGCAGCATTATACCAGCACCATGGCACGAGAGGCAGAGGCTGTCTATTGCTCCCTGAGGATTTGTTTAAGGACAAGAACCATGATGAATACAGCCTGGGTGGCTCAATTACATGGGGACTCAATTACTTAAAACAAAGAAACCGGATGAAAAAAGTATGACAAAAATTCAAAATTATTTCGCTGCTGGAGGTCACATATAACAGCCCTGTCATCCATAAATCTGGAAATCTCTAAGGCATGCTACTCCTGTGTTGAGAGATGACAATTAATTGGTATTTTACTTACCTCATCCATGCAAATTATGCAGGGAAAAATTCTAATTACTGCATGCTACATGTATATAAGGTCAAAGTGGGCCAGCAGCGGCCAAGGGAACCAAGAGCATTTGCGTGCCCCGGTGCAGACCGGCAGTCCTGCACAAGGGCCAAGCACGGGGACACAGGACCACGCCAGGACACGCGTCCTGCCCGCCTCAGCAGCCGACGATCGCTGCCAGATCGCGCTGAGACCCCAGAGCGGGGACAGCAACTTACCCAGGAGTCCGGGGTTGGGAAACCTCCAGGAATCGTTGTACGTTGAATACTGTGGGTGGCTGTACGGGCTCCCAGAGAACTCGCTCCCTGAGTTAAAGAGAAAAAGACAAAATGAAAGATCGTTTGATTTGAGACTGCAGTCAGTGTTGTGGGAAAGCAGCTCTTCAGCGCGCGCCATGCTCTGGTGACAGCCCTAGTAAAAGCATCTCTGGCCACCCTCTTTGAGTAGGCAAATTATTTGTGAGAGGGCAAATTGTTAAATAAATGGGTGCAGTCATCGTTTCATGCGTCCTTTTCGTGCTGCAGTCCAGGCCTGCTGAGCTGGTGAGATCTTCTCCGGCCTGTGCTGCTGGAGCAAGACAGCGAGGAGGGATGGAGAGGACTCTGGGACGCACCGGTGGAGCTGGCCCTTGCCTCTACAGCCCTACAGCACCTGGGGCAATAAACACAGTACGAGGACAGGGCTGCTCAGGCAGGCTCTCTGCTGGCAAGAGAAGATGAACCAGCTGCTATTCTAGATACTGGGTACCCTTCCAGGCTCTCCAAGAGAACATGGTCTTGGTCCCAGATGTCTGTCTATCACTGCAACCCAAGGAAAGGGATGCTTGCATTAGTTCCAGGTGGCTTTGAAACCCTCCAGACACTGGCACAGAAAAAGGCTCAAAGAGTTGTCGCTATTTATCTCCTCATGAGCTCGCGCTCTTCCCATCTGTTTCTTCTCCTCACATGTCACCTCCCGTTTCATACTTCAGCTCATCAGGACAGAGCCTTGCACCACGGGGCTCTGACCCTGGGCAGGGCACGTGGCTCCACCACTGTGCTGATTTATTAGGAAATTTTCCACAAAACGACAGTTTCCCGCTCTCCTCTGCACTTCCTCCCTCTTCTCCTCCCTCTCCCACACACAAAGACAAGCACGGATAGCACCGCACGGCAGGATGAAGAGCAGGCTTCCCACGGAAGGGGAGCGGGCTGCCAGGCTGCAGAGGATGCTCGCTGAGACCTTCGCCTCTTCTGGTCCTCAGCACGGGTGCAGGGTCGGCCCCAAGGTAGCGTGGTCTGCACACCATGCTGCTTCGGCAGGAACGAGCTGCCTCTCCGCCTGCACCCACGGACGCCGGCACACACGCTGAGCGTGTGGACAGCAAGAGCTGCCCATCGCTGGTCCGCTCATGGGGGTCTCCGCTGACAGCCCTCCCCTGCTCCCACCACCCCTCAGACCCACAGGACTGCACCCAGGGGGCTCGAATCGACCCACGGACACGGCAGGGAGATGAGGTCTGGAGCCAGCAGCAGTGAGCACTTCCACGCTCAACGCTGTGTTGACCACATTTCTGCACAAGCTCAGAGCAGCTTTTCAAGACAGCCTCTAAGGAATGGCGTTAATTCACCACGAGCCATGGAAAATGGAGCTGTTTCTAAACCTTTCTTTCCAGTGAAGCATATCATATCTACACGTCTTCTCTGCTCCCGGTCCTTATGAACAACAGATGACTTCAGTGCCTGAAGGTTACCTCGTCACAGTGCTCTCTCTACAAATGTCGGGCACGGTGCAGACGGTGAAGCCACAAGAGATGTCAGGAGCCACCTGAGGTACCAGGACCGCTGGCAAAGGGTCACAGAACCACAGAGTCCCAGCATGGCAGGGGTTCGAAGGGACCTCTGTGGGTCACCCAGTCCAACCCCCTGCCCAAGCAGGGTCACCCAGAGCAGGCTGCACAGGACCTCGTCCAGGCGGGTCTTGAATATCTCCAGAGAAGGAGACTCCACAGCCTCCCTG